ATGGAACTGAGGAGGAGGGCGCTGGATGGAAATGCAGTCCGCTGGAGTTTGTGGGAAAGGACCCTGTGCGCTACCTGGGAATGGAGATACGCAGCAAGATGAAGGACGGAGGGATCGCCTATCACGTGTGCCAAGGGGGCTACATTGGAGATCTCTTGCGTGAGCATGGTGTGGAAACGTGGACTCCGTCGTTGGTACCTGCAACCCGGGAGGCAATGCCGCAGGTCCCCGAGCCGGAGGATGGAGCCGAGGAGGCAGAACCGGATCCTTCGGCGGTGCATGCTGCTCAGAAACTGGCTGGAGAGCTGTTATGGCTCAGTATGCGTACTCGACCTGACGTGAGCTTTGCTGTGGCTCATGTATGCAGTGCCGCTACCCGATGTCCTGAGGCTGCGCTGAAACTGGGGCGCATGGTGTTGCGCTATCTTCGTGACACCGTGGACCTCGGCTTGACCTACGATGGCACAGGACCGACTGTGCTGGCTTATTCAGACGCCAGCTATGCGCCGGGAGGCGGACGCAGCTTCGGATGTGCTGCGACGATGTTGCATGGAGGGTTTGTGGCTTGGAGAATGGCGCGACAACCCGTGATATCTCTCTCGGTGGCGGAGGCGGAGTTGTATGAGGTCATCAATGCCTACCAGCAAGCCATGAGCATCAAGGAGTGGATCAAGGAGATTCATCCGAAGGTGGACGTCACCATGTTGATCGACAACCTGGCGGCACTGGGGCTCGCGTCAAGTTCCCCAGGAAGCTGGAAGACACGTCACCTTAGGATACGGGCGCGATTCCTGCGTCAGGAGACAGCGTCGGGGCGTCTGGAGCTGAAGCACTCCCCGGGGGAGGTGCAGGCGGCGGACATGGGAACGAAGGCAGTTCCTGCACCACGACTGCGTGATCTTCGTGTTCTTTGGAAGATGATGACAGTTGGAGAGTTCCTGGAGGGCCCGAAGGAGGTGATCCTGAATGGGATCAAGGTGCCGGAGTCGGAGGTTCGCTTCAACCAGATGAGGATCATGATGATGTTGGTGGTATGTGCCTTGGTAAAGGGCACGCAGGGAGCAGAGCTGCCCCAGGAGCCTAAGAAGGACCCTCTGCCCTACGACGCTGGAATCGAGTTCTATGGCTTGATGGTGCTTTGTGGTGTGGCGATGATTGGAATCTGGGAGGTGATGAAGTGGTGCCTTGGAAGATGCTGTGGTAGTGATGAGGCTACAGTCCGAAGGGCCCGGAGACTTCTGCGAATCCGAGATCAGACAACGAGAGCCCTTCAAGAGGAGCTGATGGGATTGCGGGCGGAAGAGGTGCAGTCCTCGCCTCCTGTGAGTCAGGGTTCTCCTGTGGCTATGTCATCGTCGTCGTCAGCTACTGCGCCAACTACACGATTGGTGGAAAATGTGGAGCCAGCTCGGACAACCACGGCGGTTGCCGAGGAAACACAAGTGGGCCAAGTGCCCGACCCGCCTCGTACGAGGCAGAGCCCCGAGTACGACTTCGAGCTCTTCACAGGTGTCTTCTACAAGTCTGAACGTGGAGAAAAGGTGCACTTGTTCCACTGCCGTGGAATGAGGGAAGTCCGGTCGCGCGTGACGGAGTACCAGGTTTGTTCGTTTTGTTTGGAGCGCTACCCCTTGTACTACCGTAGACCTTTCAATGATGCTCTGCTACGCCGACATGATGGACATTGAGCACCCCGAATGAGACACCTAGTGGGCAGCGGGCCCACAAGGCGAGGAGGAGTGCTGGTGTGCTCACGTTTTCCGGGAAGAAGAGGGTGCATGTCGCTGTCAAGCGGTCCAAGCCCGGTGAAGGGCAACAACGAGGCCCGTGAAGGGCAAGGAAACATGGCCCGGTGTGGGCACGCAGACGCAGTTTTTACATGTACCAGGCATCGCAGGTATAGCACCTGAACGAGTAAGACCAAGGATTTCGTGTCGTTGCTGTTGTGAAAAAGGGAAATTCGAGTGAGCTCTACAAGCCATGGCCAACCCCTCAGACTCCATGCCTCCTGGGACCTCCAACCAGGAGTTTAGGGTTTAGGGTTTAGGAGGTGCACCAGCACACCCTGCAACATACATATCTGGCTCCACAATGTTGTGAAGTCAGAAATTGATGCGGCTCTCAACCCTAAAGTGAAGCGTTCCTTCAATTGCACAGTGAAAACCAGACTCATCAACTGTAGCCGAAAATGCAACAAGAAATGAGCGAGTTGCATGCGCCGACTGCAGCAAATTATCAACTTCTTTGGCTTCCGAGCCCACAACCCAAAACCCCAAAACCCAGACCCTAAACCGTAAACCGTAAACCGTAAACCCTAAACCCTAAACCCTGCTAAATAACGACCTTGTAGACGGTGAATCCGGCTTGCGTCAGGGTGCGGAAGGGCATGTTCACCTGGGCTGTTTCAGGCCGACACTTACACTGTCTCTAAACCTTACACTCTAAAGCCTAAACAACTTCTACTGGACCTCGCAAAGTCAAGCTGCTAAAACCCAGATTCAAGCCGCGAACACCCAAAGTCTACTAGACCCTTCGCCCTAACTAAGCCCTGTTTCAGGGCTGTTTCAGGGCAACTTCGTTGAAGTCACCGGACGAGCTTCAGAGCGCCACAGCCCCCCCGCGATATTGACTTGGTTTCAGGGTTTAGGGGCTGCAAGCTTGTCTGGGAAGCCTGCTGTGCTTGGAGGTTCAAGGGTGGTTTTAGTCGGGGGCTTCCAGGATAGTTCGGGATAATGGCCTATAACCTTACCTTGGCACACATATTCACCGACTTCCTATAACCCAGTCCCTACCCGGGGGGGGGGGACAACCCCGAAATCTTCAACCCCAAAATTCAGCCCCTAAACCTGAAACCCTAAACTCCGAACCCCTTGGACCGTAGTTTCTCCAGAGCCAAGCTGGCTGCGATCGAAGAGACCAGAGCATTGAGGTCCCCTAAGCCCGAAACACGACGACCCCCAAAGACGCAGAGCGATCAGGGAAGGGGGGGGGATCATAAGACTGCAGGTTTAGGGCCTAGGGTTCGGGACCTTGGTAAGTAGGTTAGAGCCGGAGGGGCTTAGGGCTGAGGATTTCGAGAGCCAGGCTGTGAGAACAAATGTGAGATCCTTGTGCTACTCCCACGTCATGACCCCACTTGCCTAAAAGAAGGCCCAAGCCTGTGACTGCCCCAAGCTGTGGTTCTCCTATTCCGTACCTGACAGATATAACCTTATTAAGTGCCCTAAGCCCTGAGAACCCCACCAAAACCTTAAAACAAACCTGCACAAACACTGAAGCCCGAAAAAAACACACACAACCTTAGAAGCCCTGCAAAAAACCCTTTACCCTAAACCCTAAAGCCTGAGCCCTGAGCCCTAAGCCCTAAACCCTAAAGTGCGGGCCAGGGGCAACCTGCGTCTCTCCACCCAAGGTCTTGCGGTATTGCCGGAGCTGGTGCCTCAGCCGACCCTCCTCTCAAATCCTAGACCCTAAACCCTAGACTCCTCAACCCTAAACCCTTACCCTAAACCCCTAATCCCTAAACAATAAAATCTGAACCCTAACCCAAAAAGCAACTGGATTGGAGCCTTCAGGTGCAGGGTTTAGGATTAAGGGCATTCGCCGTTTCAACTTTATACCCCGAAGTCGATCCAGAAGAGTCTCAAGTTGGGGTCAGGGTTAGGGTTTGGGGTTCAGAGCGTTTAGGGTTTGGGGTGTAGGGTTTAGGAGGGGGAGAGACGTTGAGGATCAAACTTTTTTTAGTCCAACACTCCGTACAAATTGATGCCTGTACCTCGACTCAGTCAGGGTTCCGGGTGCAGGGTTTAGTGTTTTAGGGGTCTGAAGGGGTGTGGACTCAGGTACTACTATAGGGATGAACCTTCTTTGTTAGGTACTTGAACCCTAAACCCGTGAGCCTTAGACTCTAAACTTACCCTCTGACCTGTAAAGCCATGAACCCTGAAACCGAAACCCCAAACCCCTGAACCCCAATTCACCTGAACCTTAAACCCTGAAACTTAAACCCTAAACCCTAAACCCTGCACCCTAAACCCCAAACCCTGAACCCTAAACCCTAAACCCCCCTCAACCCTAAACCCTGCACCCCCTCGGGCGCTCACTTCACCACCTTGTACACCTCGTTCACCTCCAGCCTGGGCGCTGCTTCCGCCCATGACTTTGCCTTGTGTTCACCCTAAACCCTAAACCCTAAACCCTAAACCCTAAATCCTAAACCCTAAACCCTAAACCCCAAACCCTAAGGAGGCCCAACAAGTTGGACGTTGTCGTCGGTTCTGTAGACAGAGTTCAAGGATTAACTAAGTACTGGAATGCAGCATTTTGCAGCGCCTCCCCCCCCTCCCCCCCCCCCACCCTCCCCTTCCGCCCCGAAGTCACACTTACCATGGAACTGTAGCCTCCATCCATGCCCCCTGCTCCACAGGGTTTAGGGTTTAGGGAAGTGGTCTGTGCCACTCTTTACTGCTGGCTAGACTGATGCATCCGCCGATCCACCATATCTGAAACTATCCTTAAACCCTTCATCCGAATCCTACCCATGAAAGTTAGCACTGGGGTGGCTTCGGGGCCCTATAAAAAATCCATTGTTCTGGCTTTACAAGGATTATAAAAGGGACTAAGGGTAATAAAAAATGTTCAGCCCTACCCTTGAACAGGTAGGGTGGTGGGGTGCGCGACTTTGCAGAGGGTTTTCAGGGCTCAGGGGACCCGAAACCCTGCGCGGGAACCCTTCTGCAGTTTATAGGTTGGGTTTGGTTTGGGGTTCAGGGTTCGGAGTTCTCAAGGTTTAGGGTTCAGGGTTTTAGGGTTCAGGGTTTCCGACGCTCACGACTGGGCGCCTGCGCACGCGAGGATCCGTGTCACTCGAAGCTGGCAGACAGGAACCCTTTCGGTCCCACGACTTCTGAGGATTGGCATCGCACCCATCCAGACCATCATCGTCCTTCGACGGAGTCCATGGGAAGCCTCTACGCGCTCGGGATGACCAGCAAGCGTCTTCAGGATCCCTTCAGCCTCCTCGCCTTCCTCCTCGATGCTGGCGCAGGTCTTCGCCTCTTTCTTGCAGGCTTTCTTGCGTCGTTCTCTTCAGCTGCAACCTCGGCTTCGGCCTCATCATCGGAGAAGCCCTCCTCGACTTCGTCCGCGGCGGAAGTCTGGGCTGGGCCCTGGGCTTCGCCTAGGTCCACCTCGTCATCTTCCTCCAGCTTCTCCTCCTCCTCACCCTCCTCCTGATCCTGGGGCTTCTTGGGCTTCTCCATCTCTTCTCGCGACATGAGGACGCAGTTCCTTAGTTGCTGAGGAACGTAGGAACCCCGAAGAGGTGTACACTTTCAGTTCTTTGGGGGAATAGAGTATCCCAAAAAGTGTAAAGTGCACTCATTCAGCTAGTAAGGTGCAGTTTCTGCTTGAGATACACCTTGCAAATCATCTCGCGGCCAACCTAGCTCATGGTTGGGATCATATTAGAAATGTAAATTTTTATTCCTTATAGGGTTCAGGTACCCTTAAAAATGTAAAATGGTACCCAACTATGATAAAGCAACGGTTGGGAAGACGTAGGCGAAGCGCCCCAAGCCGACAGCAGCCAAAGCCTTTCCGCTGCAGTGAACGTCGATGTCCCGGATGGCACCCATGATGCCCCTGTAGCCTTGGCAGCCCCATAACCATATTACTGTTATTATTATTGATATAATAATAATAATAATAATAATAATAATAATTGTTATTACCATTATTATTGCTTACAATTGATGGCACCCTTTGCCGGGTTACTTTATCAGGGGACCTTGAACCAAAAACAGGAAAACGTGTACCACCGGGCTAGCAAGTAGCCGCGTTTGAAGGGAAGCTGCTTGATGGCCAGGTTCAGGTGAGCCTTGCGGCCCGGGGGGATCGAAGCAGCTGGGCTCTTGGGGAGGTTCCGCAGGTCGTACTCGCGAAGAACCCCCAAGGTGTCCCCGACAAAAAGGCCCCAGCCGTCACCACGGACATGCGCCACCCGGCTGCAGAGGAGTGGCCTTTTGGCGTCATCTTCCACCCCGGTCCAACCCCCGGCGCCTGCGCCCACCTTGTAGCCCACTCGGAGCTCGAAGAGGGGCCTCCTCTGAGTGTTCGCGTCGTAGACGCGGATCTTACCGTCAGAGGTTCCGCACGTGATCAAGGAGCGAGCGGGATACATCGTGGTGGCCCATCCCAACGTGCTGACCTTCACCGGAACACGCAGGCACAGGGAATCCTCTCGCACGTTTCGTGCCGTCCAGGTGACCTCCTTGTGCTCCAGGTCGAAGATCTTCACATCATTCTCGAGGCCGCCGAAAGCAAACCGAGATGGCCTCACCGGATCTACTGAGGCGCTGGCGATCGGGCCCTGCAGTGGAAACTGCTGGACTTCAGCTTCTGCGCCTCCTGCGAAGCCTGCGATGCTGAAGGCCTCGGGCTTCCCCCACTCGGGGACGATGCTCGCGGTCCCGTCCGAGGAGATGGCCAGGACTCCAGAGGAGCAGGCCTGCAAGCCCTAAACCCTAAACCCTAAACCCTAAACCCTAAACCCCCAAACCCTAAACCCTAAACCCCAAACCCCAAACCCTAAACCCTAAACCCCAAACCCCCCCAAACCGCCCAGCAGGCCTGCAGGCACCTCACAGCTTCGCTGCCGGTGGCGCTGCTCAGGAGCTGGCCTGGGAGGGCCCTCAAAACCTTCGTAAAAAAAAGATTCTCCTGAGTATGATCCTCTTAGACCCAATAAGGGGAAACTTAGAACATCCCCTAAAGCTTCTGACAGAAAAAGTCCCTGAATATGATCCTCTGAAACCCAAGAAGGGAAAATACATATGCCGGAATATGAGCCTCCTAAACCCAACAAGGGGAAAAGACATAACATATCCCAACCCTAAACCCTAAACCCTAAACCCTAAACCCTAAACCCTAAACCCTAAACCCTAAACCCTAAACCCTAAACCCTAAACCGTGGGTAGCCTTGGTGGCTCCGAAGCTCCAGCGCCCCTGAGGCGTAGGCGATGGCCACGGCGGACTCGGGATTGTCCGCAGGCCCGGCCCAGCCTTGCTGGTGCAGGGTACCCTGTATATTCCCCTTAAAGGGTATATATACATATATATGTAGATATATAGATATAGGGGGAGATAGTAATCCCTTAAAAGGGCTTTTTATAGGGGGATGGAGTAGAATCGCTTGAAAGGGTATGTATAGGGGGATAGAGGGTAACCAACCAACAGTAAGCAGCAAAGTCGATGGATGGCGTCCCCCTTGCGGCGCTCGCCCAGGCGCTCGATCTTCTTCCCCTCCACGTGGACAAGCCTCGGGTGGCCCTCTGATAAACCCTCTGAAAATATATGGTAGGGTTTAGGGTTTAGGATTTAGGGTTGAGGGTTTGGGGTTTGGGGTTTAGGGTTTAAGGTTTAGGGTTTGGGGTGTAGGGTTTAGGGTTTAGGGTTTAGGGTTATATGACCCTCTTAAGCCCAATGAAGAGAAAAATGCAAAAAAGGTCCCACAGGGCCTACCTAGAAGCTTCAGCAAGCCCGTGTCATCGCCGGTCAGGAACTTCATCCGAGCGCTCTCAGGAGTGGTCTCATTGGCATGGCCCGAGAGGCATTTCAGCGCACTTGGCAAGGGTGAGCCCTTAAACCCTAAACTCTAAACCCTAAATCCTAAACCCGAAACCCTAAACCCTGAATCCTAAATCCTTGATCCGAAACCCTAAACCCTAAATCCTAAACCCTAAATCCTAAACCCTAAAACCTAAACCAAGTTCAGCCCAAAGGGAACCAAGCAAAGGCTCAGGTCGAGTCAACACCTGCCGCTTGGATGTCTGCATTTTCAAGTCTGAACAAAACATGACAAAACATATCGTCACTTCTCCAAAATGTGGTCCCTTTTGCGGTCCTTATTAAAAGGCGGCCCCTCTTATTTAGGGTATCCAAAAAAAGGGACCGAGCCTTACAACAAAACATAGCAAGACATATGGAGGTTTCCGAAAATGGGGGTACCCCTTTTGGTGCCTCTTTAAGAGGATTTGGGATAAAAGGGGGTACCCCGGGACCCCCTATTTTGGGAAATACCCACCCTGGCAAGTGGTCTGGCGCACCGCAGCAGTTTGGTTAAGAAAGCTCTGGCATCATAGCCCCCTGACCAATCCTGATGTCTCGCGTGGCAACCTGGACCCATACCATACGTAATGAGGCATGTGGTGAGGAGGGATTGAGGGATTTAGGGGTTTACGGGTCTTGGGGAAAACAGAAAAATGCGAACGAACTTAAGGAGGCAGCTGACTAAGCATGCGGCACTCTGTGTCTAAGACTCTAAACCCTAATCGTGCCCCCCCCCCTGCCTCCGGTTGCCGGTTGCCCAAACCAAGCCCCAGACCGCCTATAAGCCATAATCGAGTGTCTAGGGGGATATAACGGTTTACGTGTTAAAAGGCTTTGCCCGCAATGGACATGTCTCCTCGGGTACTTGGCAAGTTATGAGTCCTGTTCTGCTTCAACCCTCAAACCCATATTTACAAACACCCTAAAACCCTAAACCCGGAACCCTGAACCCTAAACTCTAAACTCCAACAATCGAAAAAGCTGTTCCCTTTTAGCCTCTAAGGGACACTTTTTCTGAGAGCCCGTCATGCCACTGCCATCGAAGTCGAAGCACAGGAAGTTGTCTGGGGATGCAAGCCCTTTTATAACCCTAAGCCCTGAAGGTTCAGGATTTAGGGTTTAGGGTTTAGGGCTAGGGTTTAGGGTCTAGGGTCTAGGGTCTAGGGTTTAGGGTTTAGGGTGTAGGGTGACACTACTTGGGAAAACTCTTGGGTGTAAGATGGGTTTCATCTCTACGGGGGGATGCTTGGGATCCTTGCGCTTGGAGGTTGCTGGGGGGGTGGGTGGGTGGGGAGGTGGTGGAGGTGCTCGGGCGTTAGGGTTTGGGTTGTAGAGCTCAAGGGATTGGGTTTAGGGTTTAGGGTTTAGGGTTTAGGGTTTAGGGTTTAGGGTTTAGGGTTTAGGGTTTAGGGTTTAGGGTTTAGGGTGTAGGGTTTAGGGTTCAGGGTTCAGAGTTCAGGGTTTAGGGCTTAGGGTTTAGGGTTTAGGGTTACTACCCCCCCGGGGTTCCCCCCCAGAACTAAGGCTGTTTGTAGTTAAGACTAATGAGTAAGGGCGGAACCTAGGGAAAACGGGGGGTAGTATACAGGAGGGCTGTCGTGTTGTGCTTTCCAGGTTGGGGTTCAGGGTTTTGGGGTTTAGGGTTTTGGGGTTTAGGGGTTTGGGGTTCAGGGTTTGGGGTTTAGGGTTTGGGTTTTTGGAGGTTTTAGGGTTTTTTCGGGTTTAGGGTTTGGAGTTGAGGGTTGTTGGGGTTCGGGGTTTCTTGCACAGCTGCAGCCGATGTGCGACGTGTTGGACTACAAAAGGGATGTGCTTATTGGCATAAGGGTTGCCTGGAAAGCTGCGCGGCAAGTTTTACCGCGCTCCATCACTGCACACTCCAGGCAACGCAAGCCCCACGTAAGTCCCGGAGGACGACAAGAATCCTGAAACCTGACAATCCCCTGAGCTCTACAACCCTAAACCCTAAACCCTGAACCCTGAACCCTAAACCCTAAACCCTGAACCCTAGACCCTAAACCCTAAACCCTAAACCCTAAACCCGAAACCCTAAACCCTCAACCCTGAAAACAGGGAACCCATGATGGAAGAGCTGGGCTCCCCAACTCTGGAGGTCGCCGAAGGCTGCGAGAGGGAGCTCAAGGACTTTAGACAGCGCCTTTGGTGGGGTTTAGGGTTTAGGGTTTAGGGTTTAGGGTTTAGGGTTTAGGGTTTAGTGCTTAGGGGGTGCTTAGGGCTTTCAGAACTGGGGGGGTTTAGGGTTTGGGGTTTAGGGGTTCAGGGCTGCTGTAGGGTTCAGGGTTTAGGTTAAGGGTTTGGGGTTTAGGGCTTTCAGGGCTGCTAGGGTTTAGGGTTTAGGGTTTAGGGTGCAGGGTTTAGGGTTTAGGGCTTAGGGTTTAGGGGGTTTCGCGGTTCAGGGGGGTAGGGGTCAGGATTTTAGGGCTTGGGGGTGCATTTATTTCGGGGTTTAGGGGCTAAGGGCTTGGTGATGTAAGAAACCTTCCCTGGATCAGGGGAAACGGAGTCTCCGGGAACGTTTCTTGAGTTGCAGTCCGGGTCCTGACACGATCTGAGGAATGTTTCTCTCAATTCAGGGCCCTCCTATGTCGGCTGCGAGGATATGACAGACTATGTATGGACTTGTTTCAACAATGGAGGCTACCTGATGGGTCGCTTTTGGAGTAGGGCGCCTTCTCTGAAAAGATGTCGTTTGCAACATTAAACAAGTACCGTGCGCGAGCGGTTAAATCGGCAGGTCGATCGATCAAACCGCTTAAGAACATCCCGCAGTCTCTCGTCAGACATTCCCAGCACCTGCTTGGAGGTTCATTTACACTTGTAGGCCCAAGTTTAAGTCTACTTATAACCTACTTGGGGAACTTAGGCGGCTTGTAGAAGTACGGATATAGCTGGGGTTATAACCCTAAACCCTAAACCCTAAACCCTAAACTCTAAACCCTAAACCCTCCAAGTATAGGCGCCCATGAACCCCGAAGTGTCAGACGCGGGAAACCCCCCCGCCTGGCAAACTTGCAGCAGGCCCTCGCAGTCCACGGCGTCGTCCTCATCCTCCACACCTCTGCGAGCCAAACCCTAAACCCTAAACCCTAAACCCTAAACCCTAAACCCTAAACCCTAAACCCTAAACCCTAAACCCTGAACCCTGAACCCTGAACCCTGAACCCTAGACCCTGAACCCGAAACCCTGAAGGGTTCGGAGTTTCAGCTCCGGCGGATGTCACAAGGGGGCTCGTAGGCCTTGGTGATGCCACCCACACGGATCCTCATCCTTCAGCCGCACCCCCCCGCTCCCCCCCCACCCCCCCCCCACCCCCCTCAAGGGTTTGGGTGTGTCGGTTGAGGGTTTAGGGCTAAGGGTTTTGGGCTTAGGGTTGAGTATGTAAGAAGAGAAAGTCCCAGTAGAGTGGTCTGCATTTTGGCTCTGAAAAGCCCTGTCTTCCATGACCCAAGCAAGCTCTGCCAAATCCCTCCCTACAAACAAGGGAATCGTAATCCGCAAACCCCGAAGCCGTAAAGCCGAACACCCCACCCCCTAAACCCTAAACCCTAAACCCTAAACCCAAACCCTAAACCCTAAACCCTAAACCCCAAACCCCAAACCCCAAACCCCCCCCCCCCCCCCCCCCCCCCCCCCCCCCCCCCCCCCTCGCCCCCCCCCCAACCCCGCCAAAAACAGCCCTCAGAATCAAAGCCGCGCCGCGCTTGAAGCACTGGACCACTGCCCTCTTGAGCACACTGCGGTCCTGCTGCAGGGCTTTGGGGGTGGGGTTTAGGGTTTAGGGTTTAGGGTTTAGGGTTCAGGGTTTAGGGTTTAGGGTTTAGGGTTTAGGGTTTAGGGTTTGGGGGTTTCAGGGCTTAGGGGGTTTAGGGTTCAGGGCTTCGAGGGTTTCAGGACTTCAGGACTCAGAGTTTAAGTGCCTAGGGGTTTAAGGCAGGTTGTTCTAGGGTTTAGGTTTCTAGGGTTTAGGGTTTTCGGGTTTAAGGTTTTGTGTTTCAGGGTTTAGGGGTTAATGGTTTTAGGGTTTTGGGCAGGTTCAAGGGTTTACGGCTTAAGTTGCTTTCAGGCTTTTTGGGTTTAAGGAAGGGCTTAGGGCATCCGAAAATCTCACCAAAATGGACCAAGATGGGACTGTATATAGGTAGAGCTAAAACGAACACCTCCCCAAAGGGGCCTTTGCAGGAAAATTCTGGAACCGGAAAGCCCGACCGTTTCCCAGCAACTGGGGGCGGATTTCAACCGCAGGGCCCTAAACCCTAAGCCCTAAGCCCTAAGCCCTAAACCCTAAACCCTAAACCTCCCCAATAGTAATAAAGATAATAACGATAATAATGGCAGTCTGATGCTTCTTTCCGCAAGAACCACGGGATGGAAAGGCTAAAGCATAGGGTTAGGGTTTAGGGTTTCGGGTTTAGGGCTTAGGGTTTAGGGCTTAGGGTCCGCCGACCCTGGCGGCGTGTTGGATGGGAAAAGGAGTGGAAACCTCCCTCTTTCCTTCCTTACCCCTCCAAAACGCGGGGGGGGGGGGGGGGGGGGGGGGGTACCCCGCCAGCTTTTCCAGTGGAGGAAGGGCCACCCACACCGCGTAAACTCGTGGACCATAGGCGTTTTCGCGGGCCTAGGGCTCTTTTGGCCCTGTTTGGGCTTCCCCCCTACCCCCCCCTACCCTCTTACATTTCGGGTTTCGGGCTTAGGGTTTAGGGGCTTAGGGTTTAGTTAGGGTTTAGGTCTACTTATTTAAAACCCAATCATAGCTGTACTTAGAGCCCACTTATAATAAGCCTCTAAAGTGCTCTAATGTAGGTATACTTGGGTTATAAGGGCAGTGATAATTGGGTAATTAAGTACCATGAACCTCCAAGTAAAGACTATGTTTCCACAAGGCAAGGAAGCTCTTAAGGGTCACTACATGGTCCCTTTAACTGGGCATCCCTTAAATACCCCCTCGATGCCCTATACAACCTAAGGGCCCATACTTCAGAACCCCTTAAAGGAGGCAAGGCACAATTTTGAAGGGACCATGTAAATACCCTTAGAGACGCCCAAAACCCCAAAACCCTACACTGGAGTTCCGGGCCCATCAAGCACTCCCGAGCTTGCATAACGCTATGGACGTAGTACAGGTTGCGAGGAGTGTTGTGGAGGAATGCGTGTGGGCAGCTATATGGGGGACAAGGGCACCCTTTTTGGGGACTTCTTTAAGGGGCTGCTTTTCTATTTGGGGAAAACAAGGGGTACCCGTATGTTTGTAAACCGTATGCACGCTCTTTGGTTTAAGGTAGTAGGGCCATTCCCAGCAGCTCATTCACTTTTGGATTCTCGTTCCTAAAGACAAGGGCGGCCCCGATCAAACATGCCATGGGTGAGCAACACCATTAAAAAAAGATTGGAAACCTGCTGGAAGTTTCCGAATTCCAAGCTATGCTATGAAGCCCTAGGCTTTTCTTACCTACAACTTCGTGTACGACGATGCCCAGATTGCTACCAATTGCTTAAGAACCCCCCCCCCAAAAAAAAAAAACATAAAGATAAAAAGGAAGAATCTACCCTAAACTCTAAACCCTAAGTGGTGGGGGTTCTCAAGCAGCCAGTAGATTCAGAGGATCCTTCAAAAGCTCCGTGATGGTGTCGATCGACTTCTTCTCCTGAACAGCTCCGAAAGAACTCCTGAACCCTTCATAGCCCGGTTTAGGGTTTAGGGTTTAGGGTTTAGGGTTTAGGGTTTAGGGTTTAGGGTGTAGCTACTCCTGAACCCTTTGTAGCCCTGAAACCATCTTATAACAAGGGTTTAGGGTCTAGGGTTACGGATTTAAGTTTTAGGGTTTAGGAATACTTGGTAGCCCAGAAACCATCTTCTAACAAGGGTATCCTTTTTGGGGGCTACTTGACAAGGAATCTTCAGGACCAAACAGAGGGTAAAGGTTACCATTGGGCTACCAAGAACCCTTAAACCCCCACACCCTAAACTCCCGGACCCTAAGCTCTTCAACCTAAAGCTCTAGACTCTACACTCAAACCCGAAGCCACTGAGCCCTACACAGACGGGATACTTCTAAGGCTCCTACGTGCCGCAACTGGGGGGAGTGGGGGAGTGGGGGAGTGGGGGGCGTGGGGGGGGAGTGGGGGGGGAGTGGGTGGGGGAGTCGGGGAGTGGGGGGAGTGGGGGGAAGGGGGAGTCCCTAAACCTGGAAAATAAGGCTTAGCGTTTAGGGGTGAGGGTTCACCCTGAATCCTAAGTTCTAAACCCTTATTCTAAACCATACATCTTCAGCCCTGATGTAGCATACTTGAACCCACCTCCCTCCCCCCCAAAACCTTAGGCCTGAACCCAAAACCATGACAACGATGTGGAAGTGAGCCCATTTCATCAGTATCAGGATTGCGAACTGGAGCTTTCGAGCCCCTAAAACCCCTAAAACCCTAAAACCTCTAAGCCTCCTAAAGCCCTGAACCCCTAAAACCCCTAAACCCCCGAAAGCCCCTAAAGCCCAAAAAACCCTAAAGCCCTAAAGCCCCTAAAGCCCCCAACGCCCCCGAAATCCCTAAAACCCCTAAAGCCCCCAAAGCCCCACAAAACCCCTAAAACCTCCAAACGCCCTAAAGCCCCTATAACCCTAAAACCCAAACTCCTAAAACCTCTAAAGCCCGAGGCCCTAAACCCTAGGCCACTAAAACCCCTAACGCCTAGCCCGAAACCCTAAACCCTAAACCCTAAACCCTAAACCCTAAACCCTAAACCCTAAACCCTAAACCCTAAACCCTAAACCCTAAACCCTAAACCCTAAACCCTAAACCCTAGCCCTAAACCCCCTAAAGCCCTCATCCCGGGCTGCCTGCGGATTCCGTATGACCGGCACGGTGCTGCTTCGCCCGAGCCTCGGGCAGCGCCTAAAATGCTCACGCTCGTTGAGCGTTAGAAGCACAAAATCCTAACCCTAGGGTTTAGGGTTTAGGGTTTAAGGGTTAAGGGTTAAGGGTTAAGGGTTTAGGGGTTTAGGGGTTTAGGGTCAGTTTAGGGGTTTAGGGGTTTAGGGGTTTAGGGTAAATGTTGTGCCTTCAAGCGGACATGACTGGCAATTCTCCAGGCTGCTGCATGACCCTGGCATCTGCGTACGCCAGAAGACAAGCGCACGTGCCGCAACATCTGATACGTATAGAAACTGCCCGCCACCCCAACAAACCTAAACCCTAACCCTAAACCTGAAGCTCTTAAGCCCCTAAGCCCTAAATCCTAAACCCCCGCTGTATTCCTTGATGTCCTTCTTTAGCCCAGGGTGGTTAGGAGTTTTGGGGGTTTAGGGTTGGGGTTTAGGGTGTTTAGGGGTTTAGGGTGTTTAGGTGTTTTAGGGGATTAAGGTTAGGGCTCGAGTGGTTAAGGGGCATGTTCATAGTGCCTATCATCCAGTTTCACTTGTACTTATATCCCACTTATAAGCCCCTTAAGTGCCCTAATGTGGCGCACGCATGGGGGCTATACCTACAGTAAAAAAGTGGGTAATTAAGTACCATGAACCTCGAAGTAAAGACTATGTTTCTACAAGGCAAGGAAGCTCTTAGGGTAGTTACATGGTCCCGTTCAAGACCCCGATGAATACGCCTTATAGGGTATTAAGTACCATGACGCCCCAAGTAGGCCTTGGGGGTTTGAGAGTTCCACCATGATCTCCTGAGGCAACGGCCCCGCCGGAGACTGCACAGGAATTGGGCTTCGGTACACGACCTGGGGGCTTCAGCGTTTCGGGTTTAGGGATAGTTAGGGCTCAGGGGTTAGGGTGTAGGGGGTTTAGGGGTTTGGGGTCTAGGACTTGGAGATTCAAAGCTTGCGGATTTAGGTTTTCGGTGCAAAAAAAGCAAAACCCTCAACCCTAAACCCTAAACCCTAAACCCTAAACCCTAAACCATGGTTCGGTTCTTGCTTGGGGGGAGGACCTCGTTTAGGGGTTTTAGGGCTTAGCGGGTTTAGGCTGGTTTAGGCTTTGTGTGTCTTTTAGGGTTTTAGGCTTTGTAGGGCTGCGGGTTTTTAGGGTTTTAGGGCGGCCTAGGGTTCAAGGTTTAGGGTTTTTGGGTTTTAGGGTTTAGGGTTTAGGGGGCTTCATGCTTTTAGGGTTTAGGTGTTAAGGGGTAGCTCGACGATCGACACTTCCAGTGCTCTTCTGGGGGGGCATCGTCGGTTGGCCCCTTTGGGCTCAGCTGACTCATTGGGCTCATGTGGTGCGGAACCTCCTCATGGTTTGCTGCCTTGTTCTTTGCGCTTTTGGGCTTTCTTGGCAGCAGGCTTCGGTTCTTTGGCTGCGGTTGGTTTGCTGGTCTCGGGCTCCGGGCAGGCCTTTCGTCATGGAGAGCTGGCGAACTGCTCCTTCATATCGTGGATGTGGCCAGGCGCCCTATTCACGTCTATCGCGAAGGTCGCAAGCACCGGTGCAATCTGATTCCCCATCGAGGTG